AGGTATTACGTACCAATAATACGCCTCGGTGGATTTTCCCTTCTGCCTTCGCTGCTCTTTCAAATAGCATTCCACAAAATCAGTGTATTCCTAAGGCAAGACTTACCTTGTTAGTTTGGAGAAACGTAAAAATTTCGAAAAACCAATAGAAACTTACATTGTTAGTGAAGTCGACCTCCTTCCGCCGTACCTCCACTTGTGCGCTAATAAAGTCCAGAATCTTTTGGTGAGAATCAAGCAAAGCTTGGAACGATTCTGAACCCATTGAAAGACCATTGCTTATTCCAAAATATACCTCGAAAAATGGGCACTTTCCTAAAAAACGGAATCAGAAACGCGACCAGGAAGGGTAAATTTTGCCCGCGAGTGATCAGCTCGCGAAGTTGCCCCTTGACCAGCTTGAACTCGTGCAGATTCGTCTAGGAATTTTGCAATGATTTTTCGACACATTGTTAATCTACTTCGTCAAAACGGTATCCAAAGAGGACGTTGTTGATGATGGAGCCGACTGCGGTGTCGAATTCTTGCTAGAAAAGTATTACTAAAAGTACGCAAAATCAAAATCGATTAGTATCAGTTAGATCTGAGGTGAGCCTGAGGTGAGATAGATGTATCATAGTCGAAATAGGTTCCTTAAAACCGCAAAATTGATACCTGCATGTTTAAGCCGGTTTTTAACGAACCGAGCCTCTCCAGAAGATATTCGACTTCGACCATTACCTAAAAATCGTAGGGTTAAGCTGCAAGCCGTTCAAGGTTAAATCCGTTTATGAAAATTAAAGCCTCATACTTTTAGCATAAGCTTGAAGGAGTAAAATTCAAGTCGTACTAAAAATAAGACAAGAACAAATCGGTTGGATTTTATTTAAGCTACCCGATCTTCCATCAGATTTTTGCCCATGCCAAAGTCACGTAGTGTATGCAGCACGAAACTAAACTATAAACGGGTTAAAAGTTTTGCGTTATTAATTATGACGCATAAATTAATGACACGCACCGTCGCTGCTCCTTCCACAAATCACCGCGCGAGTTGACAATTCCGTAGTTTCCGCCTTTTAGTGTTTGCGATTTCAGCGTTAAGAGATTTAAGCTACCTTTCAAAATCTCCAAAATGTCCTTGATCGTGGCTCGATCGGCAAATTTATCGCCTTCCTTGATGATGGATTCTTTCATCGTTTCATAGTCGGCAACCACGACCACCGGTAAGGGTCCTAGGCGGAAATTTAATATTGTGGCCTTGATTCTTTGTACTATTACCTAGCCAAAAGGTGTAAACCGGCCCATATTCTTGACGCCATTTCAGGAAACATTCATAGCCACCGGGTTCACCGCCAAATACAGATAAAAGGTTTCCAAGTAGAGGTAACGGAGTTGGACCTGGAAATGTTCGGAATTAACAAGGTTTAGGCCTTGGCTTAAACCTAGGCTTAGGCTTAGGCTTAGACTACGGCTTAGGATTAGGGGTAGGCTTAGTGTAGGCTTAAGCCTAGGTTTACGCTTAGTAAGCTAGTATGATAACATTATTTACCAGGCGGTAGGCCTCGACGTTGCCAATATAACGAGTAAAATAAGAGGCAAGTTATCGAGATAGCGACGAGCAAGAAAATCATAGCTGAAACGCAGAGACTAGTATATAGCTAACGATTTTCGTAACAGCGATGCATCAAAGAGGCGGGCTGAGGGGAAACTCAGGGCTCCCACGTGTTTTCGGTGCCCAGCTCTGTGTGCACTCCAGTAAAGCATTGGGGCAGCGATTTTTGGTGTTGCCCCGAGAGAAGAGGAAGAGTTGGGCACGGCCCAGATCATGTGTGGGGGAACGCGAGAGAGGGCGAGAGAGAGAGAGCGAGAGTGAGAGAGAGAGCGCGCGAGAGAAAGCGCGTGTGGGAGAGAGACAGGGATAGAGACAGAGATAGCCAAGCACACGCAAGGGCTTCCCTGCAATTAGAAACGTTTTTTTATGTCCACCGACCATAATCATCAGTAAGAAAATAAGGTTTTCATTTTTTTGTACATACAAAGCAATCAGAATCACAAATGACGATCTTCTACATCGCATAAATAATCTTTGCAGTGACGACTTGTCCACGGTTCTTTACCATCGATGGGGTCTGCTTGGCCGAGAACTAAAACCAAGCGTTTCCAAATATCTTGGATGCACAATTTAATGCCTGGATAAGTTTTAATCTGATACTTAGGAGTTTAGAACTTTTTCATACCTTAAACCGCTGGAACAAATTTGCGACGAAGAGGAACAGCTCGACTTTTGCCAACCCCTCGCCGACACATTGCCGTTTCCCCACAGAAAATGGAACAAGCTCATCATATTTCTTCAGCGACCCATCCGAATTTATAAAGCGCTCCGGCTTGAAGGTGTACGGATCGGGGAATACCTCAAAATAGAGGATACTATTAAGCCGTCATGGAACTCACTCGCTCATCGTACAGCACCGTACTGATCTGGGGCATCACGACGGTGCCGGCTTTTATTGGGTGCCCTCCGATTACCGTATCCTCGAGGAGTTTGCGTTGTAGATTTTGGGGGAGAAGGTTTGCAACTCTTTGCGCTTCCTGGAAATTAAACTTTCGGGGATAGTCTTGTGAGAGATAGAGCGCGAGGGATAGAGCGCGAGAGAGAGAGAGAGAGGAGAGAGAGAGAGAGAGAGCGAAAGAGACACAGACGGAAAGAGAGGGAGAGAGAGCGAGAGCGAGATTCAGAGAGTGAGACAGTGGCGGTGTCAGACACACCAAGTAACTCACATTAACCACAGCATTAACATATGGCAAATCATTCTTGTCAGCCATCGTAATCATCCGGTCCGAACCGATTACGCGATCCAACTCCTCGTGCATCTTCTTTTGAACGTTTGGATGATTCAACACGTAGCAAATTGTCCAAGTCAGAGTGTTTGATGTTGTTTCCACGCCAAAATTTAGGCATCTGTATTAACAGATCGAAAACTTACCGGCTCCCCAAATGTCCAACGCTACATTGGTCAGTTGGTGATCACTATAAAAAGAGATACAACAAATTGCATGAGTCCTACCAATAGAACGGCTCATTCGGCTTTCCCTTTTGCCTTCTCTGCTCCTTTAGGTAGCACTCAACAAAGTCGGTGTATTCCTAAAGATCCATAGGAATGCCGGATCCATAAAATCCATAACGCTGCCCTGCCGACCCCTTTAAACACATACATCACTGCTAAAGTCCACTTCTTTTCGCCTCTCCTCAATTTGCGCTGCGATAAAGTCCATAATCTGTTGATGCGAGTTGACAAGGTTATAGAACGTGTCTATAAAACGAATCCTAATTATAAAGTATAATTACCTTTAAAATACGGCACTTTCCTAAAGACAGGAAGAAGCGCTGCCACCAAAAATGGGATATTTTGGCCACCAGTCACCAGGGTACGTAGGTGCCCTTTGATGAGTTTGAACTCGTGCTGTTTGCTCTAAAAAATTCGAGCTTAGCTAGATGCGTTTTGATTATGGGGTGACCGTAGATATCTTTAATGACAAAATCGACCTCATCAAAACGGTATCCAAATAAAATGTTGTTGATGATGGAGCCGACAGCTGTATCGAATTCAGACTAAACATAATAATAAAATTCTAAAAGTTGTTGAAATTTGGCAAACCTGCATGTTTAAATCGGTTTTTAAAGATCGCATCCGATCGATAAGGAAGTCGACTTCGAGCATAACCTAAAATACAGACTTTCTCATTAAATAGCCCCAAAAACCGGGGAATTTTTGCTCCAAAATTAGTTTAGCTAATTACAAAAGTTTTTTTACTCACCCGCTCCTCCATCAAATTTTTGCCCATGCCAAAATCACGCAGCGTATGCAAAACAAATCTAAGCGAGTTTAAAAAGTCAATTTTTCTATACCTTCGCTGCTCCCTCCAAATATCTCCCCACGAGTTTATCACACCGTAATTGCCGCCTAAAATAGTTTAATAGATTTTATGACATTTTTTATGCATTAAATTATACTGAAAAAATTCCGCTAGGTCCGATCCCGATTTTTGATAGGCATGATCATCATAAATAGACTAATACAAAGTATACAAAAGTTGTCGCAATTTTGAGCGGTAAATATAGCGTTTAAATAGATAAAATCGGCTTAAATCGAGTCAAAAACCCACCTTTCAGCACATCTACCAAGTCTTTCAACGTCGACCTATCCGCAAATTTGTCGCCATCCTTGATAATCGATTCCTTCATCGTTTGATAATCGGCCACTACTACCATTGGTTGAGGGCCTAGATTATGATATGGGGTAAAGTCACTACCCCGAAAAGTCACTACCCCGAAAGTCACAACCCCGAAAGTCACTACCCCGAAAGTCACTACCCCGAAGTCACTACCCCGAAAGTCATTGCCCGAAAGTCACTGCCCGAGTCACTACCCCGAAATAATTTACATGATTTTCATAGGAAAACCGCATGAAACTGGATTTTTCCGGGAAAAACAGTGCTATCATTTTTCGGGGTAGTGACTTTCGGGGTAGTGACTTTCGGCGACCTCAGTGACTTTCGGGGTAGTGACTTTCCCGGGGTAGTGACTTCGGGGTAGTGACTTTTCGGGGTAGTGACTTTTCGGGGTAGTGACTTTTCGGGGTAGTGACTTTCGGGGTAGTGACTTTTCGGGGTAGTGACTTTTCGGGGTAGTGACTTTCGGGGTAGTGACTTTTCGGGGTAGTGACTTTCCGGGTAATGAATTTTCGGGGTAGTGACTTTTCGGGGTAGTGACTTTCGGGGTAGTGACTTTCGGGGTAGTGACTTTTCGGGGTAGTGACCGGACGCCTTATGATATATTAATTAAAAAATTAAAAAGATAATTACCCAGCCAATACGTATATACGGGACCATACTCCTTGCGCCACTCGCGGAAACACTCGTAGCCTGGGCTACATTTGACGACCGACACCAAATTGCCGAGTAGTGGAAGTGGCGTGGGTCCTGGAAGAAACTTTATTAGCTAACGAGTTGCGGCCTAAGATGGTAATTTAGACCATTAAAAAACTGATACTAAAACTGCATCTGCTTTTAATTTTTTCAAAAGACCGATTTTTGTTGAAAAATAATTTTTTTAGTTGAGAAATCGAGGTAATCTGCTCTAGTTTTCCGGATTCTGCATGTCCATTTTCACTATTGATCAGATTTTCTCACAATCAAAATACATTTATGGTTACAACTCGATTTAATTTAAGCTGGAAAAACTTTTTTGGATTTTTGAATCTCGTTTTGATATTTTTTGCGTTATTCAAAGGGATTAAACCGTTTTTAGATTATGAAATACAACAAATTTTTACATACCTGGCGGCAAATTCCGGCGTTTCCAATAAAACTCGTAGAAGAGCACTGCAGCCGTGCTGATGAACACAAGGAAGAAGATCATCTCTGGAAAATCCGATTTTCATGTGTATCGTTTGTATGTGAAGAAAGGTAAGATGAAGGTTATAATGCATCTTAAAATGAGTTAAGTCTCCAGTAGTCGCATTTTTAGCGTCTAGAATCTCTCTGAATCAGCACTAGGATGTAGTCATCAATTCCCAGAGCTATCCATCAAAATCGACAACCCGAGAAAATGAGAAGAGTGGGGTTGGCGGCGGGGCCGATTTGGAGCGGTTGCGCCCCCTCTATTTATACTGCCCACCCCGGCTGAGTGGACCATGGTTTCTGACTTGTGACCGATTGGGGAGTGAAAGGGAAGGTCACTCGGCGAGATAACCAAAACATACCGGACTAATGACTCAAAAGCCGTGCAAAAGGCCTCAAAAAATGCCTGCTACTTGTCGACGTTGCCATGGTATCGCAAAGGCGATGAATTGCTGTTCGTAAGTTGATAAAGGGAATTCAGGTGCGGAATTTTCTGCTGTTGCTTGTATATAAAAGGTTTACATCCAAATCCATTAAATCTAAAGGAGACATCTAACAGGCCACTAACTCTAGAGCCCCTTATTTGATAAACGCCAACTTAAAGCGCACGTTCAGGGAGACTCGTCCCGACGTGTACAACCTATGGACGTAGAGACCGCGCGCACGGCCTGCCCGTGCTGTGACAGGCCATTCCCGTCCTTTGCGGGGTGGGGCGCCCCTCGCCCCCCTCGCCAGTTTGTAGCTGTGGCTGACTGGTATCCTTCCGCGCCTGCCGAGCGGGGGGCCCGGGTTCGACCCCCGGCCGCGGCAAAAACTTTGCTTTTTTCCAAAAAAACGTCCCTTTACGTGCCCTTTAACTCCTAAATTTATCCCTGAGCCGAGTTTTTGTTTTTTGAAGCTTACGGTACTGCTTTACTTACCGTATCCAACCCTCAGAAGCACGGTTTAGCTGACTTTTTAGGTTCGACTTTTCAAACACATTGACGCCACCAAAATAGCCTTCGCTATAATTCGGTGGTTTTTAAAAGGAGTTTAAAGTTTTTTTTTTTTAAGGGAACAGCAAAATGGAATACCTACTATTATCGAAACGGGGTATGCTCTTGTTTTCCAATGGAAAAATCAGTTCCGAATTGCAAAATTTTTTAACCAAACCTGAGCGTGTAGCTTTTCGAATCACCTCGGAGGCCAATCAACTCGTTTTCAAACCTTTTCGGCATCCTCTATAAATACAGCGACTTTCGAAAACCCCGGCCCTCGTCATGTACGGTTTCCGGTCCCGACTATCGCTTCCCAGGCGCTGGAAAGAGGCCAATCTTTGCCCCCGGTTTCTCTGTTCTCTCGAGTGTTACCACTCACTTGGACGGTTTTCGAAAGTAAAAAAGATATACGACAAAACTACAAACCCAACCAAAAAGCAGACGGGGCCTACAAAATACGCCGACTATGCATTTTACATTGTTTAAGGAGCTATACTAGTGATGGGGTTATTCAAATCAAATCTTGAGTCAAATCTGAGAGCTCAAATCTGAATATTTAAAGGCAAAAATCTCAATATCAAATCGGCGGATTTTATTTGAAACTCATTGGACGAGTTCAAATCAAATCCTGAGGATTTGATTAAGCTTCCGGTCCTTAATCAAATCTTATGGAGATGCCGGCATGCAAAACATAAGAAAATCGCTATGGCCGGGCGGTTGCGAACCGGAAATGACCCGGATTATGCATGCCATCATAAAATTAGCATCCGCGTAATGAGCTATTGATTTTTCGACTCCTTTCAAATCCTCGTTCAAATCTTCAGATTTGAACTCAAACCTCGAAAGTCCAAATCAAATCGATTTGATTTGAAGTGCTGAAACCTTATTCAAATCAAACCGTCAGATTTGATTAGGCGGATGCAAATTAGATTTGAGATTTGAATAATACCATCACTAAGCTATACTATAGAACTGACGCTTGAAAACAGTTGCTTGCCTTCACCCAAGAATTCAATCATAAAAAGTTTTATATTGCTGCTCATTTTTGTATTGTTTCTTCGGAAGTCTCTTCTTCGGAAGCGACACGTAGTCCGGAACCCTCTGAAAAAGCTGACTGCCGTTACAAAAAGGAAAACCCCTCGATAAAGCCTCTTATCTCATAGATTAGCAAGCCGGAGGCTACCCGCGGCACCAAGAATTTCGGTTTCTTCAAATGCAAATGAGTCGTCAATTTTTTTCGTGCGTTTTGCTTCGCACCTTTCCCATCACTATTGGCTGCTTCTCCTCGGCTATAGAGCCCACGGCGAATACCGTCGCGAGCAGCAAAAAACCCAGTAAGTAAATCGGGCGATTTCGATAGGGGCGCTTGATGTGGTTGTTTTATATATTCTCCAATTTTGTGAAAGTAAACATTCGCTGTACGGGGTGCGTCAAAAGAAAGAACGAAGTTTGCACTGAAATATCTCGCGAACGGAAACGAATCGGACCATCGTTGCCTTGCCAGAATGCTTAAATATGCTGGGTATGAAGGATAAACACAAGTTGTTTTTTAAGATTTTTGACGACCCACTACTCGTTAAAAAGTTTTGAACATTTTTGAAAAAGTAGAAAACTTTGAAGCCATAAAGTATGGGGCTTTTTATGAGTTAGGGGGACATGAGGGATATCAAAATGAAGCTCTTGGAATGCGCTATCAGACGCGTGGTAAAGCATTTCGATCGGTTTAACTAGCCGTCAACAGGAGCGTTCGGAAAATCCGGAATTTTCGAGAAAGGGCGATTCCGAGTTGACCATAGAAAGCCCATTGCCCTCATAACTTTTTGTATTTCTTAAATGTAATGCTGTTTGCCAAAGCTAATCATGTTACAATTTTAACTATAGCAACGTAAAACTTGCAGTTTCGGCCGACTTGGCAAGATGCCAAAAATTTTTTTGTTCGGGATTCTCAAAGTCTTGATGCCAAAAGTTAGAACTTATCTCTTTATTGCTAACTGCAAAATATCAGAAAGATCGGATGGTAAGGAAATTTTATCTGGAATTTTTTCTTCAAAAATTCCGGATTTTCCGAAGGCTCCTATTGACGGCTAGTTAAATCGATCAATAATATTTACGATGCGTTTGATAGCGCATTCCGAGAGCTTCATTTTGATACCCTACATGTCCCCCTAACTCATTAAAAGTTCCATTATTTTCGTCTTCAAAGTTTTTTACTTTTTCAAAAATGTTCAAAACTTTTTAACGACGGTCGTCAAAAATCTTAAAAAACAACTTGTGTTATTTCTTCATGCCCAGCATATTTAAGCATTCTGGCAAGGTAACGATGGTTTGATTCGTTTCCGTTCGCGAGATATTTCAGTGCAAACTTCGTTCTTTTTTTTGACGCACCCTGTATACGAAAAACGGACGATGCAAAGTATCGGACGGCAGCTGCACGTGTGCACGGGAGGGATCTCTATAAGCAATTTTTAAAGGGATAAAAACGGCCAACTATAAATTCACTCACACAACACCTTGATCGATCAGCACTTTTAGAAAACGGTATATTGCTCAGAATTTCTCTCTCTGCCGAACTACATGGGTCCCGTCCCGAATCTCCAAAAGCCCCTAGAAACGATTCCCGGTAAGCGATGGCGGGGATCGGCCGAGACAAAACAAAAAGGCCCAATAAAAAGATATAGCTTTTTATAAATGCATCAGATTTGCGGGATGAACCGGCAAATTGCACTGATCGCTCTGATTTTCCTGGCTGGTGGATACGGTAGGTTCATTTTTAAAAGCAATAACTTTTAATTTAAGCTTATAAAAGCTATATTAAAGTTATTTTTCTAAATTATCTGGCAATCAAATTCGCAGGGTTGGCTCAAAACCGGATTGCCATTTTCTAAACGTCTTTTTCACGGGAGTTTTTTATTAATTTCGCTAAATACCATATATTGGATTTGGCCGATTCAATCAGTATTCACACGGCTAAATTATTCACCTAGAACACCAAAATTTATTTCTAGGCAGGGGCATCTCTCACGATCGAAAATGCCTGGAGAGACTCGGGATGTGCGAGTAAGTATGTATTTGAGGGTATTTTTGTTTGACATAAAATACGTTCAAGACACAATATTTATCATTACCGTTTGATTGTTTTAGATCTTTCGCCTGTATTTCAAGTGAATATCCAAAGACTGAGGCGGCGCGTATCTCGGACATTCTCACCAACATCAGCTGTGTCGAGGGGGAGCGGGTCGAAAAATGTACACAGTAATTTTAGTTTTGTAAATCTAATTAAGATTTCGATGATTTTTCTAAATGATTAATGAATGTAGATGGTGTCATATATGACTACTTCACCACCCCGGGGCGTAAGACGGAATTCTGGGAATGCGGATTCTACGAGGACACGCCGGGGGACGAGGTTTGCCAGTGAGCCTTTTTTCTCTCTCTTACACTCTCTCTCTCTCTCTCTCTCTCTCTCTCTCTCTCTCTCTCTTATCTCTCACAGTCTTTCCCACTGTCTTTGTCTGTCACTTTCTCTCTCTGTGTCTCTCTCTCCATCTCTATCTCTCTATCTCGCTCTCTCTCCCCCTCTCTCGCCCTCATTCTCCCTCTCCTTCTCTCTCTCTCTCTCTCTCTCTCTCTCTCTCTCTCTCTCTCCTCTCTCTTTATCTCTCACAGTCTTTCCCACTGTCTTTGTCTGTCACTTTCTCTCTCTGTGTCTCTCTCTCCATCTCTATCTCTCTATCTCGCTCTCTCTCCCCCTCTTTCGCCCTCATTCTCCCTCCTCCCTCTCTCTCTCTCTCTCTCTCTCTCTCTCTCTCTCTCTCTTCCTTAACTACGCCTTACGCTTCAGGGAAACTATCAACACCTATAAATGCGGCATCATTGCCGTAGCCGCCAACGCCGGCAGTGGCCCAGTAGATGAACCCTACGTTGCGCGACTGACCCACTGGCGGGTACGCAAATGTACCAGCAACATTGTGCAGTATCAAATATTTCAGCTTCTGCTCACCAGTGTCACTCTGAAACCGGAATTGCAAAAGCCGCTGCGCTACTGTTGGAAAAGTATCAATGACGCCCTCGACGCGATGGGGGCCGGAATTGAAAACTGAATTTTAGTGTTTAATAAAATTTTTCGATTTATTGCTTTGTGTATAGCTTACGGTGTCGTTTTAGAACTTACAAAAAAAAATAGAAAAAATGGCCTTAGATACCTAAACCGTCCTCAGATTTAGTATCTTGCTCTCTCTCTCTCTCTCGCTCTCTCGCTCTCTTTCTCTCGCTCTCGTTCTCTCTCTCTTTCTCCTTCTCGTACTTTCTCTCTCTCGCTCTTTCACGCTTATTCTATTCGTATTATTCAAAGCGTCGACAGCGACAATGCCGATATCGACAACAATCAATTTTAACACAGAATTCCGAAAACGGTTATTTACAAAACATACATGCAGAGAACATTTTAATTCCCAGTTCTCACGTGTGCGCCAGTCGTCGATCGGTATTTTGAATGCCGCGTCGGGCTGTTGATTAAAAGCTAATCAGAAAGCATTAACGATGTACCCCTGGGAATCGGTCAAGATATTGTTGACCCGGGCGGCCAAAATCCTCAAAAGCCGCAGTGGCCATCAACAAGGCGAGGAAACATAAGAGAACTCACATTTTTATCGGTCCAGCTGAAAACCGCCGCTTTAAATATATAAACTATTGAGGGTGTTTATAGAATAACGATGAGACTTTATAAACCTAAACATTTCAAGACCACCCAACGTCTCTGTGCAGGCCCGTACGGGAACCGAGATTTCGGGGGGGGCACCCACCCAAAAAAATTTTGGCGACCTCCCCCCCGGTCGCCACTTTTAAAACCTTCGAAAATAGCGACAATAACAGCGCAGCAGGCGAAAAAATTTAGAAAACCGCGTTCGTAGCGCTTAAATTCGTGTGAAAACACATTGGAAACGGCGTCTACAAGCGAAATTTTGTTCAGCAAAAAATGGTGCATTAATGTAAACGAGCGCCGCAGGCAAAAAAATGTAGAAAAAAATAGGTTTTCTAGAAGTAAAAATCGTTTCGAATCAGTGATAAACAGCGCCGCAGGCAGAAAAATTTTTGCGAAAAAAAACATAAGAGTCCCCCCTTATGAACTCTTTCGGACCTCGACCGATTTCGGGGGGCACCGTGCCCCCGTTCCCCCCTCGTACGGGCCTGTCTCTGTGTGATGAATCTGATCAAAGTTGAAGGCGTGGGCGGTGAGGAGGAGCCTGTTTATGGGGGCAACTTTTGATGATGATGATTTTGATGCGAAAATAGGAGTGTTACGTGGCTTTCTGGACGGCCTTTCGACTACTTTATCGCAGTTCAAATACAGCTTAAGATCAACTAAGTTTTTCGATTTCTTAAGATAAATTAAGTCTTTTGGCAGTCTTATGACAAACTGCGAATTGGTTTATTCCCTTTTTAAAATTTGGCAAAACCCGTGTTAGTATTGCGGCGTTTTCGGAGTCGTTGTACGATATCTGGATATGTCGTATGATAACTCTGTAACGTACTAACAACCTCTGAGCTTCATCCTCTCGGATTTTCTTTAGAATCTCGCAGCTAGCCGTCAGTCCCCGATAGCAACGGCGGTTCAGCTCATAAAAATTTTTCTGGTACTTTGGATGGAAAGTGGAATTTTTTAAGAATTTTGTGAGCTCGAAATGTTTACTACGTTTCAATACCTGAATTCCATATTTACGTCTCCCTCTTGACGTGGTTTCTTCGTTTGAAAAAGACATAGCGAGTAGGCAGAAAAAGATGAAGTGGGCAAGAAAATGCATTGTCATAAATCGTGATAGGTCAGAGCAAACGTTGCCTTAAATATCATAGCTATGCTGCAAAAGTAAACACGCCCAAAAAGTCTCCAGCCTCCAGACAATCATAAACCGATATAAAAAAAGCGTGGGTGTTTTTCAGAATAGAAAAGAGTAACTGTGTAGATATGCCTGGGTAGACCGAAGCCTTTCCTCACCAAACACGCATTTTATCGGCGAGTAGAAGCAATTGCGCGTCCTTTTGTGGCGGACTAGCTGTTAATAGAATTTTCAATTTTGCAAAGGTTAAGTTTTCTCAAAAGTGTTTTCTCTTTCTAGTAAGTGTTTTCTCAAAAATTTTTAATGTTGCTATAAACTAGGAATCGTCGCAAACGGTAGAAATATCCTACTATATATAAAAAAATAGTGTCTGTGTGTGTGTATGACACTTCCGTCAGCGTGTCCGGAGGATATCTCGAGCGGGGATGAATTTTAGGGTATGTATGTTACGTCATTAGAAGCGTAATGAGCTGGAGATGACTGCACACATATCAGCTTTTGTGAAATATGTTGTTTTCGACATTAAAATTAAGTTTCTCGTAAAAATTCGGCCGCCCACTTTGTTATGATAAAATTAGCATACGCCGGAAGTTGCAGTAGCGGCTCTATCCCAGTAACGTGGACCATGTAAGGAATCGTGGACCATAAATAAAATCGTGGACCATAACCGGAATCGTGGACTTTAAAAAAAATCGGGGACCTTAAAAAAAATCGTGGACCGGTAGTCAGAATGGTGGACCCTTGGTGAAAATCGGGGACCATAGATTTGGCCGTGGAGGCAAAATTTGGCGGCGTTCAAAATCGTGGACCATAGAATTCCGTCCTGAGCTGAGTTATGGTCCACGATTTTGAACATCAGAAAAAAGGCTAAATTGTTTGGAAAAACTGTGTTTAGCTTCCACAGAGCGGCCAATGTTTGTTTTTCACACCATTTTACATTTACATTTTACATTTCACACCATCAGCGGCATTTCACATTGTAGCAATGGGCTTATCACTAGTTGGGGGTTCGACCATAGATTTAGGGAGGAATTACCTACATAATGTCGATTTACACAATGCCGATTTTACAGAATGCCGATTTTGCGTCCTTTTGCCGAGTCATTTTTCATTGCATTTTTCTTTCGACGAATCCTAGTTTTCAGGTAACGAAGACTGATTTTTTAACGACGGCTTCGAGGTTCTTGATTCAGGGTAATTCCCTAGCAAAATCCGGGTTTCGTTATTTCAAAAAGTATCGGGGTGCGTCAATATCGAAGGCATAGGTTTTTCAGAAAAAATGGACTACCAAACCCTAGGATTCATCGGGAGGACAAACGTTTAGCGCCCTGCAAACAGACGCAAAATCGGCATTATAGGAATCGGCATATAAGAATCGACATTCTAAGGATCGGCATTGTGTAAAATCGGCAGGCTGTAAAATCGGCATTCTGTAAAATCGGCATTGTGTAAATCGACATTAGGTAGGTAATTCCTCCGCTAAATCTATGGTCGAACCCCCAACTAGTGATAAGCCCATTGCTACAATGCGAAATGCCGCTGATGGTGTGAAATGTAAATGTAAATGTAAATGGTGTGAAAACAAACATTGGCTGCTCTGTGGAAGCTAAACACAGTTTTTCCAAACAATTTAGCCTTTTTTCTGATGTTCAAAATCGTGGACCATAACTCAGCTCAGGACGGAATTCTATGGTCCACGATTTTGAACGCCGCCAAATTTTGCTCCACGGCCAAATCTATGGTCCCCGATTTTCACCAAGGGTCCACCATTCTGACTACCGGTCCACGATTTTTTTTAAGGTCCCCGATTTTTTTTAAAGTCCACGATTCCGGTTATGGTCCACGATTTTATTTATGGTCCACGATTCCTTACATGGTCCACGTTACTGGGATAGAGCCGCAGTAGCTTATAAAAAGGCCCGAAGGGAGCGTTTTTGATTTTTTGTCAAGTTGAGGCACAATTATGCAAAATAAAGAGCTTCATAAGATTAGACGGGGCCAGGGTTGAAAAGTCGCGAAGCGGCTTTTCAACCCTGGTCAAAAATAATTGTGTTTAAAAAGGTGTTTATTTGTTTAGCAATCCCGATTTTCGCAAACAACGATCACCCGTTTTTCCACAGGTTTTTCCTTATTGGACACTGACATACCGGCGTCGTTGCGTCTACTGGTAACAAACTTGGCGCTGTTGACGGGCCGACATCGCTGGATCCAACCGCAAATGCGGCGGCGAGCAACCAGAAAAAGACAAATTGTGTGTTAGTGTGTTAATGTGTCGAACCAAGTTTTATATTAACCCATGGGTTTGGAAATATAGATATATTAAAGCGTAAAAATACCACTATAAAAAAGTAATATTAAAATGCGATCTGCCGAGTGGCGTGCTTCAAAAAGACCGGAATTACAGAGCGTCAGAATTTATGGGATGGAAAATGCTTTTTTAGACAATACGAGGAAAAAAAGAAAATATGATTCACAGACAATTTGACGTTTTATATCCCTACCAAAGCAATGATCCAGGCATAAAAATTCCGGAAATGTAGTGTATTCCAGAAAAAGAATGTCTCTTCGCGAGGGCGGTAGGTCAGGCGGTCGGCCGCTCGATCGTGTGTTTATGGTGTTTTTTTTTAAATGACCGGGATGCCCATTTTATTTACGTGAAGAAGTTTTTAAGGCTCCTAAGCTCAAATTTCTGGAGGTCCGGTTTTGGAGACAACTTATTCATGATAAGTGCGAACCACGAAATTAGCAACACGCAACACGAACTGCAACGCGCGTCTCCATACGTCGGTAGCAACACTTTGTCTATTTAGCGTTCCTTAGATCGAGTGATGTGTTGACTGCATTTTGCCTGAATCGCTGGTAAGAATTTGGTCATGTCAGATCCGGTACAAGGTATGGTTTATCACAATCAATTCCATCCAGCGCCCTCGCTACCTTGCAGCTTTTTAACATCAGCGGGCGGTGTGGTGGTCCTAGGGTCGCCCATTTCTGTTTCAATTCGTAGGCTCTCAAAATTTCCCTCAAATCGAATCGCGGATGGGAAAATCTCGCGAAAATGTTCACATCAAATGGTGCCGCGAAACAACGTTAGTAAAAGCTCACGCGGCCAACGCAATTTGGTGCGAAGCTGCGAAGCCCGGCAGGAGCGGCGCCATCACCAAGCGCGAAAGCCATGGCGATCAGCAAAAGTGCGAAGAAGGAGGCGAGAACACGCATTTTGATAATTGTACCGAATGGTGCTACCTTAAATAGCTATTCTCCTGGAAATTCTAAACACTCAACAACAAAAAATCTGCCAGTTGGGCCAGTTTAATGTTGGTGCGGACGTGGGCGGGGGATAGCATCAATATATCTCTGACTCTCACTCTCCCGCACTCTTTCTCTCTATCTGTCTCTGTCTCTCTCTCTCCCTCTTTCTCTTCGCAGATTCTGCGCCGTTTTTCAAGCAAGAGATCAAAATTTATTCATTGAGATATTGAGTCGCCCAGAGATCATTCATTGTCAATAGCTCCATAGCAATTTGTCATCCTTGTGTCTACCCGAATTACCGTACGCCAGCCGCGCGCGACTGTCGTTTCTCGGAATAATCTAGAATGTTTTTCCAGACTTTTCAGCCGATCAACCCACTCCATCCACCGAGGCAATCCGCTGGCGGGGGATCATAATCATCGCAGTAGTTTTGGCCTACTTGCAGGTCGAACTGAAAAATCGTAGGTATTGTCGGTATCTGATGAAGAGGAACAATCCATGCAAATCTATGATTACGCATCGCATTTCCATAATGCTCAATTTTTATAAGGCTGAGTCGCATAAAAACTTAGGTTCTAAAAGAAATCGGCATATTCCGTCTAAAAGATGACCTACCACACGTTTTTGCCGGAACTTGACTTCTTCTATCGGAACGGCCATAGCAGCGATCAAAAGTAAGCAGCCAATGAATAAGACAACTGAAACCATGCCCGTTTAAGTTTTTGAAGGCATCGAATGAAGTGCACGCGCCCTTTCCAATGTTTTATATATACTATCGAGGATGGTGAAATCTGCCACAATACCGCTGCAGACGGCCAGCGCATCACATTGCCAAAAAAATGCTGAAAATGTTCCAAAATTGGGCGGCCAGCCGTTTTTTTTTGGATGGCGAGTTCATAGGAGGTTCCCGGAAACGTTCAGTCATCCACCCACCCCGTCGGTCAGTTGTTTATCAAAAATTTGCGCCTTTCTACACTGTCTGTGCGTGTGGTCCTGACCTTTTCAGAGCATCGTTTTTATGTGTTTCCGGCGGTTATTGTTCGCTTCAAAAATTCCTGGTAATGAAAATCTGTGGAATTCGGCCTTGGGGTTGACGAGATCACGAAAAAAACAGCAGACGAACGCTGGATCTGGGAAAAGTACGCGACTGAATGTAAGTACGAATCAATTAGAAACTTAAAAAACTAACAGGGTTGTGAAAAGACCGGCGCGTCTCAGAAAAATCTTTTCTTCGCCTTTCATTTTTCTATTATTTTTCTGAATTTCGAAACTTGTTTTGTAAAGTTATAGTGTTTTACTCTATTTCTCTCTCGCTCTCTCTCTCATTGTCCGTCTCTCTATTTCACTCTCTATATTTCTTCCCTCTCTTAGGTACATATATACAATACATACACTCCAGAAAAAGTTAAACATGATCTTATATTTTGCTGCTCGTCGGTATTAGATTCCTGACTCCTTCATCACAGAGCTCACCGGTACCGCCGTCACATTGGTGTTCTTAGATGTTCAAAGTGTTTCAAGAAGCAAAAACGATACCCGTCTTCGCCGGCGTTGTGACGCAAAGATCGAACTCAGCCATCCTCTTCCAGGCACGTTCTTTTTCGGTTTAAAGTATTGAATCGCGACGCATCTGAAGGCGATCGTTAGGGCTCTTTTTCGGCTAATCGATCGTGTCCCAACGCGGGGGTCTCTTACGATTTCGGTGGGATTTAGGTGACCTAACCAACCTTATCTAGAACTTTTTAGAATTACAGTAATTTAATTATCAGCTTGAAGCGAAAGTTCTGTCGCCGAGATTATGGAGGGCTAGCTAAATGACCGTTTGCTACCGGGTCTCCCAAAAATGGACGTTTGATTTTCGGGGCCCCGAGCAAAATTTTGATCAAATGTATGGGTTTCGAGGAAAATTTTAGGAAATGAGCCACATTTCAAAAGCCGATATCTCGGCCATCCAGTGCCCAATATTTATGATCTCAACATTCATCGGTATCTACTCCTCGAGGGGCTATTGGTTGACGTTAAAGGTATCGCAAGCAAATTGCTCTATGCAGAGATAACCTGCAAAGCATTGAAATAAACTTTTCGGGCATCTATCTTGGCCATCGTGAGTTTTTGATTTCGCGACGGTTCAGCCCAATACCTACAAACTAACCTATCGCATGTTTCGATTGGAGCTATCTACGATTTTGGCCAGCCCTCCAAAATCTCGGCGACAGAACTTTCGCTCCAACCTGATAATTACATACCCAGAGATAAAATTGGCAAGGACCGGGGCATACATCGTCCCGATTGGATAGTAGAGCGTGTTCATGATGGCGAAGCGGAGTGAGACCGTCGGCTGCCATCTGGTGCCAAGAAATTCGAGACAATAGTAATACAGTGTTGGCACGACGAGAAGGGTGTTCATCGCCTGATTCACAACGATCTAAACACCAATTCTATGCTTTCTTAAAGAAGGCGCTGGTTATCTGTTTGTTTCTGTTAGCAACGCAACCGTTCGGCGTGAATGAAAACTCGCGAATTTACAAGTCTCACGCCGTTCTTCGGATCCGCATACAGCATGTCCCAAAAAAAGAGCCAAAATTGTAGCAGAGGTGTATTAGACCCTAAATGACAACCGGCCCCATCGCTACAGTAACTCTTGAGTTAAAATACAGTTCTTTGCGCAATTGTAAACAGTTTTTCGGCAATATTTTTGGATTTGGATCGGGTTACATCGACTTCTGGTTGCGAATCCCCAATTCCGCTCAAAATATTGGGTAATTGTAGGTCGTAAAAATCGTTTCGATTTGCGCTTATTTGCTCAATTTTGGACCAGAATAGGTCTTTTGTGGTAAAGAAGGCCATCGAATCATTTTCACTTAATATTTAGTCGGTGGTACCTTAAGGAAACCCTAAGCAATATGAAAAATAACGTCAATTTTACTGCAGAGCAAAGTATACTTTAGATGCGGGAGGTATAGGTCAAGATTGTTGTTATTTAGGGACTGATACACCTCAGTTCCCATTTTGGGACCAGATTGGGTTTGGATTGGATATGCAAAACATCATCCTGAACACGCATTTTTGGCTGGCTAGCGCCTTTAAAAGAGCTTTAAAAATGCCAAAAATTACCTTCAAAATCCACCTACCTGCTTCGCCAGCCGAAAATCAGGGCGATGCACATTTTGGCTTTTTGTGTGTATCATCCCTTGGCTGTTTTGCTAAACCAGGAAGATGTGCTACCAAACAGGGCAATCTCACCAGCTGTCGGCGCACCTTGAAGAATGTCACGACATCGATAGAGGCTGAAACGAGAGACATTCCGAAGGCTATAGCTCGTAGAATCCAGTCGAGACCCAAGTCAAATCTGCCACTTGACGTGGAAAACAGTGAGTGTTGAAACGGGTGGTAGGTCAACGGACTGTACTTCCTCCCTAGAACATGGATTTCTTGCCGTCCGCCGAGCATGAAAATCGTTTAAATTTGACTCTTTCTCATTTAGGGTTTTTAGAAAACCATAAAATCACGTTATCTGGATACTTGAAGTAGATTAGATGAGAAAAAGTTTGTGCCCCGCCCTATACAAATGTTCAAAAAGAGTCTCCATACCCGAGTAGAAAAAGAAGAGCGGCAAATAGGCCAGGCTAAGCAACAGAAAAATCTGCGTGTACGGTCGTTTCATCGTATATGTATAGTAGCGACCTTAATTCACGATTTTTGACCCCTTGTTTCCGCTGGCTCACCATTTTTGATGACGCCAAGTATGCGATTGAAGGACAGCCCCAATTGCAGCACTTCTTTTGCGTGTAGGATAAAGAAGAAATATGTGGCGCTGATGGCATTGATGCGTCGGCAGAGCAGACATGGTGCTTGGCCCATTGCGCTTAGGTTGCGCTCAAATTTCTCCCAAACCATCGAGTAGACCGTATAATCAAAATGAGCCGGCATATCCTGACCGCTGGAAATAAAAATTACAAATTATTAATGCTATTAAAAATATTCACAATAGCTCAAAAATTGGTACAATTCAAATAGGCGGGGGGGAAAGATTTAGGCGGAAGCAACACAAAAAATTGTGTTGCTTGAGGAAGAATTGACGCATCATCTATCTAGCTCGCTAACTATTTTAATCGTGTCTAATATATAATAAAAATTAGTTTTTTGCAATCTTTGCATGAAAATAGCTTTAAAAATGGTTTCTCTGTTTGCGGGCTAAACAAAAGCTTTTAGTAAATTATTCAGGCTCTTTTGAATAGCATTGCAAGCTATCGAAATATGCAAAATGCCAAACATAGGTCGCCTTTTGATCCTATTGTGGTGGCGGCCATAGTTTTCAATCAAAGTCATTGTTTCCATTTTATGAAACTTTTATAGTACAGTTTCTGCGCTGAAAATAATTATTTTAGTAGATTTTTCGACGTTCTGCCAAATGGCACTCTCTAAGTCCCACAGAAACTTCAAATGTTCAAAATAATGCTCTTCCACAATATCTGTTATCCGTTTCGCGTCAATATACGTTTTTGAGAGCCGCGAAAGGCAAAATAAATGACTTCGCAAAATCAGAAAAAAATGGAACTTTCAAACGCTATGTCTTTCTAAAACGAGCGATTTGGCAAAAATTGGAAACAGATTCGGAATCAGCGAAGAATTCTGCACAAAATACGATGGGTCCTATAGCATATGAAACGTCACCTCGACCATAGGCGGTTTCATTGGTGAGGGATGGGTTTCAGTCAGTGGTGCCGATTATGAGCATAGAATAAATACCTACCTGTAATACCCGTCGTTCCCCGGGTCGGCCCAATGCTCGTCTTTATCAAAACGAATAAATGCCGCTGGGAAGTTGTACATGAATAAGATTGACATGACGAGGCGAACGAGCTGGTCAGCCGACAGATATAGCCGGGCGGTTCGTGTCAAGCGCTCCTGTCGCAGAAGAAGGCGGAACGCTTTGAAATTGGTGATGATCGCCGGGACGCCGACCTGAAGTCAATTTATCTCTCTAAATTTTAATTTAATTGATTTTAATTTAAAATCTATGTCGCGATAATCATCAGCAATACCAACCGCCGGCACAGCCAAAATCGCGAACAGATCAGCCTTGTTGATTTCGGTGAAGAAATAAATCATTTTCAGTAGGATACCTGAAAAGTCGTGATTAATTGCTGAAGGGTTTTGGAGGCCAAAGAATGAAGGGATGGGACTCATTCGATGGACACTCCCGCTTGCCATTAGCGTTTTACCCAAAAACTGGGAATTATGGGGGTTGATGAGAAATTGTAGATTTGTCACAGTACCCCCACAAAGCCTCCAATTTCGCACCTCGCGCCTTGGTGTAGCCAAACTGCTAATTTGCTCGAGATCCGGTAATGGTTTGAAACTCAACCAGCGTTGATGCACGGGGGCAGGACAGCAGGTAAGTAATGTCAAAAAAATTGCTATCTTTAGAAGTCCACGTGATACTGAAGCTTGTACCGGACCGTGACCGGGGGGTTTACGCCGCGATTTGCGTATTGGGATTTGTATGTAAGGCTTATCGGATCCCGATTTCGATACGTGCCGCTCGAAGAGGAAATGGCCCTTCATTTGCCGCGATAATTTAGACGAGGAACTTTTACTGTTTGGCTTGTCACTTCTTTCTGATAATCTATTTCGTTTTCATGATTATAACTAAGGTTTCAGAATGGATAAAATTAAATTTGATAACCAAGTTTTGAAAACGGTTTAAGTTTCGTAGTTTCGTCAAACCTTCGAGGCTCAATTATGTCGACATTTCGTTCCCGAAATCCCTAAGTAAGGCAGCCTCGAAGTGCGAAGAAATGCTCTTTCTAATGTCTCAGCTCCTCAGCAAAACAGTTTGTGTTTCGACGTGAAAACTGAGCTCTTTCAGGCCCTGGACGATTACACATGCAAATATGGGCGCAACACATTGTTCAACAAACGAACTTTATTTAAACGCACTGGAAGATAGGTGTTAAACCCAGCTAGAATAGCCGCTTGCCGACTGGTTCGATTTCGAGTTCGTCGGCATCGGACGCGCGTCCTGGCTCGGCTTAGGTGCTATGTAGTTACTGTTGGCTCTGGAAAAATATTTTCCAAAAAGGGAAAGGCTTACGGGGGATGGCTGCCGTGTCCCTCGAAGGTCGGGGGTGTGCTGTGCAAGTCCTGGCTGCTGCAATCCTGGATAAACAGGGGGGCACGCCCAGAATTTACGGCAATAAGGGCCTAAGCAACGCGACGCTCCATTCGTCAAGAAAATGTATGGGGCCAAAACTTTGTATGTAGCCTTATAACTTTAAAACTAAATGGAATTTTAAAAAAAGTGATTTCCAACTTTGTAGAATGGGAAAAGGCGATTCCAATGATACCAAGCACTAAGAAAACTGAATTCAAAAAGTATCGAAACGAAGGCGTTTTTGGTTGGCGACTTTGTGAAAAGTGGGATTTCGGAGGGCTAACTTGCTGTCTTTGGTATCATTCGAACCGTAAAATTCTACTCTGCAATAATTGATATTGGGTTTTCAATATTAAGTCGGTTTGAAAAAGTTATAAGAGCTTAAACTTTTTGGCGCCCGCTACCTTCCGCTCCTATGGACGCTTTTGCCCCTCCCGGCACATTGCCGTTTTTGGCCTGTTTGATTGGCCGTGGGGGGCGGGTGTGATTCGAAGCGATTAAAGTTCATAAGGGGGGACGCTTATGATTTTCTACCGAAAATTTTTCTGCCTACGGGACATTCTCCCGACTTACAGCCGCATATCTGCCTTAGTTCTCGAGTTATAACAAAAATTGACTTTTTTCCTTTTTTCATAGCGTTTCCGTAAGAATCGACCCTGCAAATATTACTTAAAACTGATTCGGCACGCTTGTTTACCTTAAGAAAATTTTTTAAATTAATGAAATAAGCGGCGATGTTTTTGTAACACGGCGAAAATCACATGCTTAAGCGAAATTAGGTATTCACGGTCGGAAGTTGATGAAATAATATGCCAGTTCCAAAGAAATAGTCGAAAAAAAACATTTTGAGAACTGCGGGAAAAAGGTATTGCCGTTATAACTCGAGAACACTGTAGCCCTGGAGGCGATAAGTCAGGATTGCTGTTATGTAGGGTCTGATACATTTTGAGAAGAGAAGGAGATTTTGAGGAGAAGAGAAGAGTTGAGAAGCATCGGATGTACCGCGGCCAAATGCCGGATGGGTCCTTTTTTATTCGGACACCCTGTACTTTTTGAAATTTCTTTCTTAACCAACCCAGAATTTGTCCCGCCGTAGCGCCCACCATCAACATCACGCATTGTTGGAGGGTGTTGCTCATTAGGTGAACCCAATAATCTTTCCTTGAGTCCGAAGAAAAATCCCGTCGGTTTCTGCTTTTTAGGCTCAGAGGCTTTCTGTTGCTGAAACCAATGGGTTCAAAAAACGCAGCAACGGTACCGCCCTCGCGAGTTTGATTTCCTCTTCTATTTGCAGGTCTCGGGCGATAGCCCGGTCTGTATTTTCTTGACGTAGCTTTGCGTCGGCCCGCTGCTTTTCTTCCCGGGCTTGTCTTTCCTGAAAGCAAGGTTATTTTACGGAGCGGCAAGCATCGGCCGATTTTCGGAAAATAAGAGGCCCCTCCCCAATTTTTTTTGAACCAGCCCCACGCAACAAACGAAAAATTTTGCTGTTGTTTTTTACCTTAGCAAGTTGTGCTTCCCATTCTTGCCGCCGTTTTTCTTGGCGGGCGGCTTCCTTTGCTGCGCGGTCCTGGTCGTTCCTAGAAGATAATGGCTGAATGTTTCGGGGAGCTTTGGGAACTATACTCACCGCTCTCTGTCTGCAGCAAGCTTTTTCACATACTCTTCAAATTCTTTATTGGATCTTGCTGTGGATTGACCTAAAAAAATTCGTAATTTGCTTATTTTCTGGGCACCTATGGGAATCTGCGCCTCATGGGCAACACGGGCTTGCAAAACATCCGCGCTGGTCGGGAATGAATAGTCCACTTCCGGCCCCGGCTCGTCGTCGGTATCGATACTCAATGACGCTTTCGATTTCTAAAAAAACACCTGACCACTGTCTGTATTTAGCGACGACTCACATCGTTAAGCTCCTGAGTAAGTCTTTCCAATCGCAGCTGAGCCTCGCGCTCTCGGTCCCTTTTTTCACGGTATTCAATAGAGATTTGCTATACATAAAAACCTATAAGTCATTGCTTACCTCGATGTTTTTTTGAACCTCCGCCGTTATTTTCGCTTTCTCCTCCTCCGGGAATTTGTATATCGAAAGCTTATCCTGCAGCTTGGCCATTGCTATCAGGGACTCCTTTTCAAGCTTAGCGCCAGTCTATAACAGCAGTCTTTTCGTTTGTGTGGCACACCAACTTTGGCCATAGATTCGCGGAATAAGGTGGGAATTTCATTGAGCAGGGTCCTCAGGAGGTTGCCACGAACCTGGTCCAGCCTTTTATCGACTAAGCTCTAAAACGGGAATTGATCGAAATTCAGCAGGTTCGCACCCAGTGCGCAGTAATGAATCCGGCCTGGCGTTCTGATGAAAGGTTGTCCATTCCCGCCGGTTTGTACGGACACGTTTTCATTTCTAGCAGTTGTTCTATGTCGGAGATCTGTGAACAAGCCATGAGTGGGTTCTGGATAACCAAACCTCTGAAATCCGACGTTGCTCTTGTTCGATGATTTTTTCGAGTAAGCCACCCTCAGCCTGGCTTTGCTCCCAGGCCGCAAACTCACTTCGTCTTTCCGTTGCAAAGCTCTACATTATTTTTATTTGGCTTTATTTTTGATTTTTTTACATTAATTTAATATTATTATTATTATTATTATTATCTTATTTAGAAGGTTGTCGACATGTTTTGTGACTTCGGAAACGATAAACATACATTGGCCTTGCTTTCGAACTGCTTTTTTGCCGCATCGAAGTCGCTGGCCTTCGCCATTTTTTGGATATTTTGGATACCCCGCGTCAAGGCTCTGCGGAGGTCCTCATCAAACGTTTGCTTCCGGGACCCCTAGAGTATTGCCAATGATATTAACAACTCCGCACCTTGAGTTCGGTTATTAGTTTCTCGAAAGAACGATTGACCGCGACCGCTACCGAAGATTCCCGCATAACCTTTAATCGTTATTGGCAATTGTGAAGTTGTGACTAACTTGAACCGCCGAATCACCAATCTGTGGTGCATCGGTGTTGAGCCAATGGGCAAGGCGCTGCAAAATTTTGGATCGCAGAAGTTGTTTACCGCTTACTATTCCTAGGTCCGACACGTTGCTTTTGTTGGTTCTAGTGCTGGTCCATTTTCCGACGAGGTCCCGCACTCGCTCAAATTTACGCAGCATTGGTTGCTCTAGGAAAGATAATTTGGCGTTTCTGTATCCGTTAAAGCCAAAAATGGATGTTCCGCTAGGCTCAGAAACTTTCATATTACCCTCGTGGATTACAATGCAACAATTGTCCGATGTAATAAGTCATGTAACTACCTTCTCTCGTCAGCATGATCTCATGCGTCGCTTTCCGCAAACGATCCGTAGCTGGGGGTGTACAAATGCAAGATATACTTCCCGGGAACTTTTGGCGCAGCCCTTCGGACATTTCCTTTAGGTCGCTGGCGTGCTCACATGAGGCCTAGGTCCCTCGTCATGGCGAATTACTTCTCCTTACCCAAATAACATCCAACAAATTAGCATCCTGCTCCGCATTTGCAACGTCTCGCACCACGAAAAGAAGTTGCTAAACAAGATCCTTGATCGCATCCCATCTCACCTTGGGGAACACGGCGCCCGGAAAGGTCGATGCAATTTCCGTAAAAAGGTGCAGGTCATGCAGATCATCACCGCCGATATTCCCTCGCAAGTTGACGATCTACGATTGGAAGTACTGACGGTGGTTTGTTCGTTTGACGAGGTCGAGCGCCCTGAGAAAAAGCGCGCAAGCAGCCGGCAATCATTTACCTGCACATCGGCAAGCAGCAAACTAAACACCGCAATCCATGCGGAAACTTGTCTCTCGGTCATCATATCAAACGTCCCTTGGGTGTCCATGTAGAAGATAAGGCGCTAAAAAAATAAGCTGTCAGCACCAGTCATCCATACATTTTCCTCGTACACTGGCTGGCAGCATATCAGAATCCCTTCAGTGCATCGGGTGAGTCCGGTCTGAAAATGGCCTCTGAAAAACAAAACTAAAGAGGCAACTCAACCAACCTTAGCACATCGGCTTCTTTTTTCTGGTTCAGGTAAGCGAGTAGAAAACTTTTCCCGCTCCTGGACGGGCCCATGATGCTGACCAAGGTTTTCTAAATGTTTCATTTGTATATACATAAGATTCCTTACTTCTTGGCCGGCATATTTCGGGTTTTCCAGGGTTTGCCGCACTGCTTCTTGGTGGAAGCAAACTCGATCCCCTTCGAAGGAAACCAGGAGCTCCCAGTTGACCTGTAGCACTTCTTCAAATCTTTTCAATTATCTCACCTCAGCGATTTCTCGGCCATCTGACATAGCTTCTGAATTCAAGGCATTGACCAATAACACATTATACAGATAATAGAATGGAAAAACGTGGCAATTTTTGGCCCGCAACCTTGATGGAGTTTAAGCAAAAATCTTTATTGCTCTTGCCAAGCCGAAGAAAAAAATCAGGATAAGTAGCTTGCCGCACGGGAGAAAGGGGATTTTTACATTATACTGCAGAACCCTTTCTTATTTTTCGCGGCTTCCTGCTCCTGTTGCAAACGCTCGAGCTCATCGCGTACCTGAACGAAAAGCCAAGCTAGAGGAGAGACGAGTGAATTCGATGCAGGATCAATTGAATCAACAGTACCGCGCGCGTTTTTGGCAAACATGAAAATTTTTGGATATAATCGACTTTTCAAAAAGTGTCTTAATTTAATGCCCGATCAATTCATCTATCTCGGAATTTCGGCAATTTTGAAAATAGAAAAGCAGCGATCGGTTTCTTTCAGCGCTGGTTGTCCAGAAAACCCCCGACCTTTCTCTGAGCATCCTGCTGCCTCTTTTGCTCCAGCTGCTGCTCCTCTTTTTAACTGTTGATCCCGCCGTGCCGCCAAAGCCAGCTCGTGTTCGTGTTCCATTCTCTGAAATAGACCCTTTCGTTAAGGTCATGCTAAGCTTTCAGGACACTCACCTCCATAAAAAGCTATTTTTTGACTTACCAGCTTTGCCATTTCCAGTTCTAATTCGTACCGACGATCACGTTGCTGTGATGCTTCTTCAGCAGCCTGCTCCCTCCTCAAACAGTCAATTGGCAGATTATTCAATAAATCCTACTGCTCGGCTGCCTCGGCCATTTTTTCGAACAACTGCGCCATGTGATTCGCGTGCTCCTCTTCTAAAATTGAAGATGTCAACTCTGCATTACCAATTATGAGCCCGATTCGTTACTGGTTCGTCGGCGGGAGCGGGGTCTTTTGCACTAATTGAGCAATCGTTACTTTCGGAATGGCTTAGTATCAGTTCTGTTAGAAACCATTTACCTAGCCTCATACACCCGGCGCGCGCAGGGATTTTCGCAAAGCCACCATTTCTGAACCTTGAAAAGGCATCTCGCAATATTTATGGGCTCTTTAGACCAATCGGCATTTACTACTGGGTGATCCCCCGGTCGTTTTTGACAAATTATATACTGATGCAATGCATGAAATATTTCCTTAAGACAAACCTAGCTTTTTCTGCAGCTCGTGCTGCTTCTGCTCATATTCCGCGATTTTCGCAGCTGTCTCCTGTCGGTATTTCTCCTGCTGCTTCTCGTGTGCCCGGGCTTTCTTTTTCATCTCTTCAAAACGCACATTGGTACGAGCATTCGAGCCAAAATCTTCCTCGCATCTCTAGAAAAAGCGACTATGTACGCGCAGTATCATGGCTTGGGCTCGGATAACCAGCAAAATTTAAATTGATTTTGAATGGTAAATTTAGGACTGAATGTGTCGGTTCGGCAACAACTGACACTAGCAGCCCTCTATTACGATAACCCTCCCGAAATGGCTCCCACCTTAAAGCGGGCGCTGATTGTTTCATAGTAGTTGTCGACCATTGCGCTCAACATTGCCATGTCAGCCTTCTTTAGGAGAGCCTTCACCTCGGTTAGGGCTTTTGCCTAAAAAGTCGATTAGTTTGCGCTCCACCTAAAGAAAAACGAAGTACCTTGTGCACTTTGTAAGACTCCTTCAGAAAGTCCTGCATAATGTTGATGATGCGGTCAACATCATCTGCAGTTCTGACCTCTCCTTCTTTCTAAAGCGGTTTCATGGCAAAACTAGTCTGTGAGAGTTAATACAGAGCGTCACAACCCACACTGCCGCCCCCGACCCCCTGACCCCCCGCAAAAGTATCTGATCAGAGCGATAGTTACACCACTCGAAAGTACTGCAACCCGAAAAATTTGCAACCGTCATCAAAACCCTGTTTTTATATTCAACTGTGCTATTTACAGGTCATTTAACAACATCGAGGAACGGGCTTTGCGTCCAATAAAACGGCTACTTCCGACTATTTTCCTGGGAGAATTCGAGGCAAATTAGCCCGTCTGTAGCTCCGAAAAGCCGCAAAATTCTTTTTTTCTCTGCTCACTTTGTATGGGACTTTCTTTAACGCTTACCGCCCTTAGCTGTGCAGAATAATGGGAAAGGAGATCCTCGAACATTTTGGCTACCAGTAGTTGGGCATCGTGGCTGGCGTTGTCCCCCTGGATATCCTCGAAGCGTATCTGGAAGGTATGAATAACTAGGCTACACAGCGCGGCACCTTGATCCATGTCTGCAACACCTGGCGCTTGTAGCTGACGGCCGCCGTTTTATCGTTAAACTCGTTGGTTTCTGAAACGGTCGCCTTTCCGCCGAAATAATACTGCGACAAAATGATAGCACTTAATGCGACCCTAAGGTTTGACCCAAGTTTTAAACCTCATACGTTTCTCAAACAAATCGAGTGCGTTCGCTTCTGCTGTAGCATGTTTTTTCACCACTAGAGTGCTCTTCGGGCCGCCTCCCAGCCGATCTTCAATGGTAGGCTATAAAGGGGAGCTATTTTGCCGACGGCGATGAACGCATTACCCGCATTTCCCTCTCATACGACTCTTGTCCGGAGCTAACCGCCTCCGCTAACGTTCCGTCGAGGTAGCGCTCGCGGTTGCTTTCCACTTTAGCCTTGCAACGTTCCTAAGCAAAAGGGTTCGGTTGGCGATGAACGAAAAACCCGACAAACCTCAAGCGCACGAAGGAATTCTTCGGAATGTTTGGTCTTCGTTTCAGGGCTACCAAACAACGGACAGGCTTTGTAGGCCTGGAATAAAAAGTAAAGCCAGGAACCGCGTCGCCTCAATGCATTTTCAGACAACTGGCTTTTGTGCTGCGCTTTTGGAGCGCTTTTTCTAGCACTTCCAAACTATCGTGTCCTTGTAATGGTACCTCTTCGGCTCCGGCACACATTTTCTGAAGTTCCGCTTCATATTCAGCCGGACGTATCGGCCGGTGCTTTCGTTCGGCGGTGAGCTAATTGTGCCATTTTGACAGCTGTATTCCACCAACCTTGGCGTGTTCGGTCTCGAAATAGTCGTTACCCGCCGACCTGGCTTTCTCGAAGTAAAGCTGGGAAGTCGCCTAGAATTATCATTAGGGTATGATAAAAAACCCCGCTTTTTTTGAAAGTTAGTATTCCAAACCTACCCTAAATGATATAACATTCGATGCGGAAAAATCTCGCATATCTTTCTTTGCTAGTTTCATATTGCGCTCGTGACACTAACGGTCCCAAAATCTTAAATCACTGTTGTTAGCACGCGATTTTCGTGCATCGGTGGAATAGTTTTCCAGATAGTTTCCAGATAGACGGCAGCCTTGACGCTAAGTTAAAAACCCAAAAATAAACTTTTTAAACGTTCAAGCTATGCCGCCCTGCAAGCTTGCTCAAGCTAACAGGACGACGTTGATTTTAGCAAAATCGTTTAAGGTCGATCGCGGGTTTGAAGTGCTGAAAAATCATCCCAAACTGAGTTTTCTCGGGACGCTAGGGCAGGGGGGTCGGTTTTTTAAGACGCCCTGCAAAAGGCTTCGCTCTAGGCTTAGGCTTAGACACCTTCAACTTGGATTTGTTGAGCAAAGCCCAGCACATGAGCCAGAGACGCAAATTCTTCAGAACGCTACCGGCATTACGGGGTGGCACACAGCATGCCCTACTCACCGAAAAGGCCGAGCCAATCGCCTTATGATGCCCATCTTTGACGTGGGTGACGAGATTCTGAATCCGTACTAACACCATTAAGCCTGAGCTTACCTCGACGTGCTGACGCAGGGTATCGCCAGTGAGTGGTGTACCTAACACCGTTTTTGGCTCTAGATTGTTCAGCAAATGATCCGCACATTTGCACAACTCTTCGAGGAACTCCGTTCCGCAATCTAGAATTTGAAAGTCAGAATCAATCCCAAATTGACAAAGCTGCAGGGCTAAATCATCATGCAGAAAGGTACAATCTGTAGCCAAAATGCAGCAAGCATAAGCCCTTTGCTTAGCCGCCTAGAAATGCTCTGATTTATGGACTGTCGATTTATGGATCTCTGAATTTTCGCTTTTCCGCGTTGGTAAATGTATTCAATCCCATTCCGGCCCTCGAATTATCATACCGCCTGCGAGAATTGCATGGCTGGCCCGTTGAACAAGGTCGGATGGCGTGGGTATCATCCAGCAGTCGGTTGTTTCGAAGGCCTCAATTACGCCGGTCAGCAGCTCGTGTAGTTTTTGGGCATTTCTTGTTTGCACCTAAGTGGGTACGGCTGAGACTCTGTGTAACAAAAAATAGGCTGAAATCTAGCCAAAAATATCTAGATGAGGACATGAATTACGACTTTTGCGCCTTTGCCGCTAACACGTTGGTCATTTTGGTACCCCGGGTACTACCCTACCCGTACCCGGATATGTACCCACACCCTCAGAACCTTTGGAAATGTAGGGGTACGGGTACGGGTAGTACCCTGGTAGTAGCCTACCTACCCGTCGTATGCTAATTTTGAGGGTACGGGTACGGGTACCAAAAACGGGTCTAAGGTCGCGTTGGGATTCCGAAATGGGACCCAACCTATCTTGCGCATAATTTTTCCTGATTTCGCACCTGTTTTCCAAAGGTACGAAAAGTTCGAATTAATTTGTAAATTAATTTTTTTGTTCGATTTAATATTCAAAATGAGAAAACTTTCAAACTATGAACAAAACTAGGAATGGCCCGCAATGAAGGCCTCCTACCTTCAGCATTTCCAGATATTCCTGCCCCTTGTCGTGTCCACTTTCCAAAGCGTCCCTCACCATAATCAAAAATTGCTAAACAATCAATGTATCAACGGATGCTCTCACATACCTGTCCCACCCGCTCGTCAATGCGTTGACTGTAACTGATGAAGACGTTTAGAGCATCCAGATCCTGAGCATCGATTTGACGCCTCGTGTTGAAGATCTACGGCAGCCGGATCTTGTTTTTATAACTGTTGATTACCTTCAGCGAGGACATCAGCAGCGAAATCGCAAAGATTACGGCCGAGTCGGAGATGTTGCTTCGGGTATCGAACGTACCCTGGGTGTCAATGAGAAGAACGGCTATCTACGGAAGAGACTCTATGCTTACATTCCAACAAAAACGTACTTCTTCCCCAGATTGTGTTTTTCGAAAGAAGACTTCGGGCCAAACCATGATGCCCTGAGTGTCTCTCACCAGACCACCCATGAAGCGAACTCCGTTCGTTCCTCTGGAAAGCGGCAGTATTTGACCTTTTACGCACCATTTTTTCAGGTTTTGCGTCCAAAAATGTTTTTTCTACCAACCAAGCGCCGAGGCCACCAACCGCTGTAATCCACTTTAGGGAACTCTCAAAAAGCCTGCACTCATACTGAGCTCAAAATTCCCAGAGCCTGATGAAAAACCGTTTCGCGACTTTTTAACTCAGACTCTCATCAAAAGTACCCTTAGACCCTCAAACGACGGCTTTCCGGCGTCGTCTGAGGGTCTACTGTACTTTTTGATTAAAATATAAACATTGAACTCCTTATGCGGCCTGAATAGAGGCCGAAAGATTCGCACCACTCGAATTCCGGCTTTACTTGTTTCTGAAGGTAATGCATGCGCTCTCTGATGCACCAAATGCGTAGAAGTGGGTTCGTACTGTAGTTGGGAGGCGACCTCTCCTACTGGTAGCCCCGCGGAACCCGACTACGCCACACCACAAAAGCCGGGGCCAGGGCGCGCGCTCACAGGACAGGCAGCCGCACGAATTTCGCCCTTGCCCCAACGAGAGAGGAATTTCCCCACTTTCCCCAGAGCCTCCGAGACCCCGTTCTATTCCCCTATTTATACTCTCAGTTTGTTTTAAATTTGTTGGCGACATCGCAACTTGTATTTGAAGTTGAAATTATGAACTCACCCGATATACTCGTCCGGCTTGAAAGAAGGTTTTCCGCCGGTCTGGAGCCCCCTCAGCAAGACGTTGTTCCAGAACGTCTTTCCCTGTCGGAATTTCCCCGCGGTGGAGATGATCGCGACCTGGACTCCCCTCGGGTAGGAAATACATACAAATCAGTATACCTTCTTATCCCCGATTTGTGCGCACAGGTGGTCCAGGATATCTTCTTTGAATTGGGTTATTCCCTGGTCATCAATGTTGAACAGCTGTTTCATCCCGACCTCAATCTGGCAACGATATTGAATTTAAGCATCCTTACAAGGAGCTTGTTATGTTCAAGGTGACACCCGGGCCTGGCTTATCTTGTTCGGAATTTTGTCTGAATTCGACATTCTGAACAAAACCTATGATTGCCGATCACCTAATCGAATTTCGACACTACTTTTGATGCCCTTTCGAAAGGTATAATTTGCTACAACGACCTTTTTTCAAGCCATTTGCGCAATAGCGGCAGAGGGCGCACGCACTACTCGGCTGAATTGAACATTCTGGTGTTGGAGCCAAAACGCGATACCACAGCTATCCCAGATAGCACATCGGAATCGCTAGCGCGACGCGAATTTTTGAAGAAATCCATGTGGTTAAGAAAACCTGCTCAAAAAACACGAAAACTCAACCTTTCAAAAAATCATGGCACCACATACGCGAAGTTACAGCTATGCTAGTAAGCACATCGGAAACAGCGTTTTAAAACGGCTCAAGTAAAAAACCACGAAAGTCAACAATTAAAAAATTCGCAGAATCGATCTGGTGACTGCCAACCGGAAATCCAGTGTCATAAGATCAACATCAAGATAAAGAGCGCTAGCCCAGGGTCTAAGTTATGAAAGTTTTACAGCAGTTTTTAAGTCCCTCGAGCTTTGATCTCTAATTCCGGACGCCAATCTTTCAGATCCAGCCCTGACTTGTTAGCCGCAGCAGCTAGTTGTTGAGAGCTAACTGGTTAACCGCCAAACTGTAACGCGAGGAAACTTCCCGAAACTCATAAAAAAACATACCGTTGGGGGTCTGGCAGCAACCTGATCGTCGTTGGCTTCCAACCTCTGACCGATGGCAATCTTTACAGACCGTTTTTATGATAGAGGTGACCCACTCTTCCGGCAAGAAGCTCTTCAAGACGCCGTCTTGCTTGCACATGAACAGCCGCATACAGGGCCTGGAAATTATCTAACCGTCAACGCCTGCAAACATACTGCGGTTGCCACTTGTTTTAATTCGTCTTTCTGTGCGTCAGTCGCCGGCGCATTTTGCACATACTAAAGCCAATTAATTATCACGGTTAGCCAACTAATGATTCTTACGCCCATTTTGAATTGATAGGCCTTGTACTCCGCATCGACCTCTTCATCCTAAATAAGATGGGTTTGCCGCACAGGCGTGTACCGTTACCGTAACAGCAATGTTCGAGACAGTCATTGTCGTGGCAGTGGTGAGAGCAAAGGAGGTGCCGGCCGCAAGCCTTTGTGCAGAGGAACTGAGCCGTGGAAGAGATTATGGCGTTTTTATACGGCGCCATTTTCTTGCATAGGAAAATTAGAGGCGGGGCCCGATACGCACATTCCACTGATTTGTGCGATCCCATTTATGCACGAATCGCCCCAATTCAGCCAAAAAGCGCGCAAACAGAGAAATAAATTTAGGCTTAGTAGGGATGCCCAAATAATTCCTGAGCCAGGCCGTTCTGAAAATTTGCATACAGATAGAATCGGCCACGCTGAACATCACCGCTTTTCAGAATCTGTTACAAAACTTTAAAACTTCAGATTGTGAAGTTTTACGGCGGCTCTGTACTCAAAATCGTCAAACCTCGGAAGTGAGATTTTGATCTTACCGGAAGCTTTCGTGAAAACACGTATCACCGTCGTATGCAGAAAAGTTTTGTCTTCCGAATGAGCCTGTAGATAGCATCCACCGCATTCGCGCTAAATAAATATACCATTCGAATCGGAAAATTCTCTAGCTACCAATACATTTCTGTGGGATTTGCATAAAATGCGGCGACTTTAGGAGTCGAACAAGCTAGCCCAAGGTTCTTCGTCGTCAATGTTTGTGTAGTCTTTATTTCTCATCTTTGCATCTTTACGTCTTGGTATTTTCGAGTAGACAAAGAACCTCTACCATTCAGCTTATCAAACGTTTGTGGTACACTATTCCAGCGTGACAATAGCGGCCCTGAGCCCGTCTATCTGAAACCGATCGTAGTCCTAAAAAGACACGAGGCTCCGATTAGGGACTGCTCTAGAGGTTCGGAGAAAGCGCAGATCCGCGTGACTTTTAAACAATTCGAAAGCACTCGAAACGGCGAGTAAACGTGTGCTTTTCGTTCCTCGTGCGCTCGATTCGCTTGATATTAGAGGTTTTGTTAAGAAAGCGTAAAATCAATCTCATCCCGTTGACTTGAGCAAGCAATATAACCTTGCATCAAAACTGCAGTTTTCCTGGATTTGGTTCTAATAAGCTTAAAGTGCCCATATGGAAAACCGAAAAACACTTGATTATCGGCTTTCCGAAAGCTGTCGTTAGTGACCTAAATCGTCAAATTAGACGCTGCCGTGGCCCAGAGGAGGGGGTCTTTTTTTGGGCCACGCTGTATAAAATTAGTGTGCGATCGAACGATCGGATCTTGTAAAATAGGCTGCAGCATTTTGACCATTTTTTATTCTTCTTGCCCGTACTTCCCAAACCGCAGAAAAATTGTGTATCCCTTCCATCACCTGCTGCCAATGACCAGCGATTGGTGCACATTTGTAACCAACAACCGTAGTCTGTTGCGGATGCAAGCCCAAAATACAAAAGGGGTAAAAAGGCTAAAAGTGCAATCGGTTTCTTCATCCCATGCGCATGCCTTCATTGTAAGAAGTAGTGCCCCAAAGATTCGGCCGGCGACAGATTTTCTTCCATCAGAAAATGGCAACGCCGAGAGAGCGACGACACGGGCGTCGGAATCCGGTTGTCACGGTTGGGCTGAACCTTAGTTCATTGGCGCACCTACATTGTTAAACTTACAAACAAATTGTTAGTGTGATTAGAAGCCAGATAGTAGCCAATGCATGGGGGATGGGGGATCAAACCCAGCGGGCGGGGGAGGGACTAAGTCTTCCCAGTAATCCTACAGGGTCCAATAACAAAATATAAATAGTTTTCTAGCATTTTACACAATTTCTAGACATAAAAAAAGGTTCCGAAAAACCTGTAAACATTGTCGGAAATGTCGTACTTTCTAAGGAAAATTGTATGAAAAATGACCAAAAATGGCCCAAAATTTTCGAATTCTCACAAATTTTGAAGATAATTTTTAACCTTCCAGCAACCAGATATACGCAGAAATTTATCAAAATACACCATTTATTATTAACAGATAACTTTAAAACAAAAATAACCAAAATTAGTTTTCTCTCTCGTGAACCCCCTCCTAGCTACAATGAAGTACCCGAACTTCTTTGAGACAGAAGAAAGGAGCTCAATGATGCGATGTTCAGGCACACCTCTGATTGAGCACACCTGTGATGTTAGTTTGAAGATCTTTATTCATAACTTCTTTACGCATCCTTTACCCTCAATTACCCCGGCAGGTTCACGGTTGTCCTCATCATCATCATCATCACCGTTGTCAAAAACACCGCTTATGCACATGTTTTGATTTGTTAGGGTGTCCTCTTGGAATTTTTGAAATGAAAAATTTTGACACCCCCGTCGACATTTTGGGTTTGTTACGGCCCTGGTTTCATCCCAGACCATGAAACGGTCCCTGCACTAATCAGAATGTAGACGTGTCTAAGCCCTGACGGCCATTCTTCCATGCAAGAAAATGGTGGGGTATGTAAAACACTGTTATCTCGTCCGCGTCGGCCCATTCAGAAAAGCCTGACTCGTTGGAGACGACCTCAAAAATTCCAAGAGGACACCCTAACAAATCAAAACATGTGCATAAGCGGTGTTTTTGACAACGGTGATGATGATGATGATGAGGACAACCGTGAACCTGCCGGGGTAATTGAGGGTAAAGGATGCGTAAAGAAGTTATGAATAAAGATCTTCAAACTAACATCACAGGTGTGCTCAATCAGAGGTGTGCCCGAATATCGCATCATTGAGCTCCTTTCTTCGTCTCAAAGAAGTTCGGTATTCCACAGCAGGAGGGGGTTCACGAGAGAGAAAACTAATTTTGGTTATTTTTGTTTTAAAGTTATCTGTTAATAATAAATGGTGTATTTTGATAAATTTCTGCGTATATCTGGTTGCTGGAAGGTTAAAAAGTATCTTAAACATTTGTGAGAATTCGAAAATTTTGGGCCATTTTTGGTCATTTTTCATACAATTTTCCTTAGAAAGTACGACATTTCCGACAATGTTTACAGGTTTTTCGGAACCTTTTTATGTCTAGAAATTGTGTAAAATGCTAGAAAACTATTTATATTTTGTTATTGGACCCTGTAGGATTACTGGGAAGACTTAGTCCCTCCCCCGCCCGCTGGGTTTGATCCCCCATCCCCCATGCATTGGCTACTATCTGGCTTCTAATCACACTAACAATTTGTTTGTAAGTTTAACAATGTAGGTGCGCCAATGAACTAAGGTTCAGCCCAACCGTGACAACCGGATTCCGACGCCCGTGTCGTCGCTCTCTCGGCGTTGCCATTTTCTGATGGAAGAAAATCTGTCGCCGGCCGAATCTTTGGGACAGTCCTTATTTCAATGAAGGCATGCGCATGGGATGAAGAAACCGATTGCACTTTTAGCCTTTTTACCCCTTTCGTATTTTGGGCTTGCATCGCAACAGGGTAAAGTAAACTCTTACCTAGCTAAATTATAGATTCACAGCCGGTATTAGAAAGTCGATGCAATATACAGGATCCAAAGAAACCGACATCTATAAGAAAGAGTAATTTTCAATGAAAACTAAATTTAAAAATTTTGAAATTGCATTGCTAATGTAGTACAATCCGAAAATAATGCTTTTTCTTGGTTGCTAGAAGCTTTTCAGTTAGTCTGGATTCGGAGGTTAAAACAATTTGTTAAGCAATGCTTACCATGTTTCGGGTGAAGTCTTTTGGCGGGAGTATAATCGTGATAATGGCACTAGGCATATTGGAAACTTTATACCTACCAATCTTTTTTCGTTCAAGACACCTCAAAATCATTGCCCAACAAAAATCGCACCTGGAACAAACGGTTTGTATGTTTGTGTTTCTTTTTTGGGACAGGGAGCTGGCAGCCAGCCGACGCGTTCTCTCTCTCGCCCTCTCTCTCTCTCTCTCTCTCTCTCTTTCGCTCTCTTACTCACTACGCGTTTGCTCTTTACTTTAAAACTTGTACTTTTTGGATGTTTTCCCAGGACAAATGTCACGGATGATTCATGGTTTGGGTCAAGGTTTCGTAATATCTCGAGGTAGTTGAAGATGCCATATTTTGTTTTCAATGCTTGTTTTACATCCCTATTTTTTTCTTATAGCTGGTCAATTTTTCTTTTGTAAATTTTGTGTCGCTGTTTTTTTCCTTGTTAAAAAAGGAATTTATGCACAAAACAAAAAAAACATAGACATAGATACATGAGATCTCAATATAACTCCATTGCAGTACAGATTGCGTTCGTTGACGTTATATACAGATAGGTACAAATATACACCTTGTCTTTTCAAGGAGAGCAGAACGGGATCTGAAAAAATTTAAGATAGATTAGAATAAATGAAAAAATTAAAGGAACTATTTAAAAGGTTTCCCAATCTCATTTTCACATCGAAAATGCAAATTTTTATACCTTTAATAGATACAATCAGGCGGCGGGTCCGTGTAATCGATACAGTAGGGCGGAGGCATATAGATGTGAAACTGATACTCGCAATTAAAAACAACCGATTAAGAACTTACCATCTCAAACTATAGTGTGAAAAAGGGTAGAAATGAGCAAAATATCACACGTGCAGGCGCACTTTTTAAACCTTACGACCTCACATTCCTCTTAAATATCCTCCCCCCAGGTATGCAAGCAAATAGGCGGTGATGCAATGCCGCCAATGCGGTTGTTTTGAGGGCTTGAGGATGTGGAGATAGTGACGGTCTTCGATATGTGGACATGTGCGTCGATTGTCTTGCCCATGGACCAGCGCCAAGATTGAATATTATGGTGTCATTAAATTCCCAACCCGTTTATTTCCTACTTTGAAAGGTCTTACACGAAAGAATAACATAATGAAAGCCTTTAAAATATTTATTAATAGGTCCAAAAAAATTAAATCTAGCTTCCCTTTATTCATAGAGACACCCGGGTAGATGGTGCACGTTATCCCGGCAATAAACGGGTAGTCGGATGATGGAGTACTGAAAGTGGAACTGGCCTTACTAGGGGAGCCCGACAAACCCCGGACTCAGAATTGTCTCAAAATTTACAAACGGATAGATCGACCACGCTGATCATCATCTCGTTTTTCGGATTTCTTACTGATCATGAAATCCAGACACGCAACGCACTTGCGAACCGAAGTGTTGCGTATCCTCACTTGTACCTACCCGGCCCAATGCTAACCGAATTTGTATTCAGCTAAAAACTGGCCATTCCCCGAATACTACGTTCAGCATCAGCATGACAATGCATGTGCACCAAGCACATTTTCTGTTAGAGCCAGCAGTGAAGATTCGGCTGGGAAGATGATATGTAGCTTCGCCTGATAACCCCATTTTATACACCTAATCCTGCCGAAAATCCTTACCACACCTTATTAAACCGGCATAAAATGATCAGGGCGCGTTTTTGCATAGTGTCGTTGAAACCGTCCCGAGATACCGGGACGCAGACACTCTCCGACTGGTTCCCTTTCTCTCGCTCTCGCTCTCCCGCCGTCACACTCCCTCGCTCTATTTCTCGCTCACTCTCGCTCGCTCTGTTTCTCTCGCTTTCTCGATTTCTCTCTCTCTCTCTCTCTCTCTCTCTCTCGTTTCTCTTCCTTAAATTCCTGGATGACTCAGCTGCTGTGTCAAAATCAAAAACGCTACAATAACAATTTGATCGGATCAAAGAGGTGTGAGATCGTTCGTTGGTGTCAGCCATCGGTCAAACCAGCAGTTTATCACGAATGATGAGATCCATGGATGTAAAGTTTTATTTCGGCGGCGGCGTTCCCGAACGACAGTCAGTAGATAGCGTCGCAACCTTAAATGAAATTCCTGAGCCCAAAAACATCATTAAACTTCCATAATTAAAATTCCTGAGCTCAAATTAGGAGCAATACAATATCTAGTTTAATTACATCACACCTTACCTTTACAATTCACCATATGCAGTCCGGCGGCGGCACTATGTAATCCATACACCAAGGAGGTGAGACCCGAATCCAAAACTGAAACATTTCCATTTAACACCGCACTTTAAATCCTTTAGAATGAGTCGGATTTTAATTTGCGTAACTTTAGCGACCATCCAAAACTCACAATCCCGCGCTTCCGATAGATATGGGCGGCCAAGAAAACGAGCAGCACGGCAATAACGAAATATAGCAAATTAGGCATAGTAAATTATTGGAGTCTGATGCTAGTGATGCTCTTCGTCAAGTAGATATGTTTATATACTCATAGCTTCTCCGAAACGACGCCAAAGGAGAGATTCGTTGCGCCAGAGAATTCCGTGTGGCCCAAGTTATCATCACGTCGCTGAGGCGTTCGGCAAACTCGTGGTCGGTGCTAAAAAAAAATTTGCCGGCCGGCTATGCGGTAGGAAAACGAGAGTCTGTTTCTGTGCGCCTCTTCTTCTGCCTTGATCTTTTGCCCGTTGCTATCTTTATCGGGCTGCAATTCTGGGTAAGCCCCCATTTCCGGTCAATTTATGGTATCTGCCCTCCTGGGGGACATATGAATCATGTGTCTGGAAGGGCAGGTTGAAGGTTGAGGTTGAAGTTCAATTGAATCTAGAAAATTAATAGATTTAGTGAAACCGTAAAAGTGAATTAAAGTTAAAGTTTTGTGGAACCGTAAAGTTAAAGTTCAGCTCTTAAAGGGCTGCCGACGGCATGTGTCGATCCCCCCTCATCAACAAATTGGCAAGTAGCCAACAGGGCAGAGAGCGCGCCCTGGGGAGAGGCGCAGAGACATTTTCTTTTCCGCGCGTAACCGATTGTCTATGCCGTCGGCATCCCTTTAAACGAAAATGTTCAGGAAGCCTGTCTATAAGAGCTTTCTTGCTCTCTCTCTCTCTCTCCCTCTCTCCTCTCTCTCTCTCTCTCGCAATTGCTGAGTTTTATCTTCTTTGGCCTGGAAAGGCATACAAAAAAAAACCGTTTCGGCCCGAGACCCTTTACTTGTTTTCTGGAGTATCATTTATTATACAGAGCAGATTTTTTTTATCGCAACAATTCCATAGAACAAAGTAAATATGGAGAATTTAGAGTCCAGGTCCGATCGATACCTTTAATTTTCTAGAAAACTCCTCCTTCTTGGACCGTCTTTTCGATATTATCTTCTTTTTATTCCCGTATGCAGCCAGTCGTTGTGGTCAGATAGTCACCGCAATATACAGGGCCCGACCCTAGGCAGGACTTGAAAGAAGTTTTGCATTATGGGGCGTTAAGGATAATGGGGGCGGACGGGATCTATGTCAGGAAAACTTACTGTTTGAGTGGTCGGATGACGCCGAAAGATTTAGAGAGAGGGGGAGACGGAGAGAGAGAGAGAGAGAGAGAGAGCGAGAGAGAGAGAGTAATACACAAGTCAAAAATTTTCACCAAATTTCCAAAAAATCTCCACTCATTTTCGAATCTACCTCACGTCAACCCCACCTTCCGGTGCGCCCGTTTATCTCGTTGTTCGTTAGACTAAAAAGCATCCCCTTCTCTTATTACCCCTTTTTCTCTGCTCCTTCTACTCCCTCGTCCCACGCATCAGACTTCACCCCTCTCCCCCTTTTCCCTTTTCGAAAGTCTGCGCTAATATACCAAAAATCACACAGTTTCCGTCTTAGTTTACGGGTATTTTTGGGCTACAATGACTTTTAAAGACCTCGTAAGTTTATTTATTTTAATTTCAATGGTTTTTAGCTAAAAGTCACCTCAAAACCGGATTCCTATTTGCTCCTCTTTGCAGCTGTTTGTTCTTGTCTACAGGGGCTGTGCAAAGTGATCGATTTGTATTTGATAGCGTAAGTGGATGGGGCAAATGCAGAATTTATGACGGTTTTCTGAATTAAAATAAAAAGTTAAAATTTAGGGAAGTAGCGGGAGTATATGTGGAAGCTCAGAAAACTAAAAGTGAGTCGTTTTAAGGTTCCGAGAAAACCAGGGAGCGAGAGACCGAGAGTGAAAGAGAAATGAGCTTTAGAGAAAGATAGAGGGTGAAAGAGAGAGAGAGAAAGAGAGAGAGAGAGAGAGAGCGAGAGCGATAGTATTATCAATAACTTAGATGACGAGAATCTATCCAAACTCCAAAAGGATGTAGCTGCTGCTCAATTCTCTGATGAAATCTACGCATTCTCACTCAACTTTCTATCAATAGCACTTGTCTGGTTTTGCCTTCATTATATTGCGGTAATAGCCTTACAATCCATCCTTTATTAAGATTTCAGCAATGCATATTCTTTGCCGTTTCCGAGCGAATTCACTACAATCTAAGGGCCAGCTATTTTCGGGTATGTTTATGTTTAATATTAGGTTGTACAAAAAGTCCTGGCGTTTTTGGGCTTGGATTGCTTTAACAAGAACGGTTTCGATATCAGGGTTAATTGTAATATGTCATTTGAAAGTACTCATCGTGCTCTACAGAACGGTTACAGTAACTTTGTCATATTACATTTTTTGAGTTTTTTAGAAGGTCGGAAAGTTAGAACCAAAATTGCCTTATTTTCTTGTTTCCTTCAAAACTTTTTTGACAGGCGGCGTAAAACCGTAATGAAGATAGCATTCGACTAAGCTCACGAAGCACTACAAAACGTGCCGTAAAAGTCCCGGTTCAAAAATTATTCCGTTGAGATACGACCGTGCAAAATTCGGTCAGTTTTTGAGCTTTTTTGGCTCCCCAGATCCCATTTCAACCTAATCAGCCATAAAAACGGCTCGGGATTTTTTATAATGCCTTGGTGCAAACTTCGTAGTTGTTTTACATTCTATTTCCAATGCTCAGAAATGTAAAAAATTATTTTCCCAAAATTCGGAAAGAGCCGTCATCTGGACACCGACCAAATTTTACGGTGTGGTATCTCAACGGAACAATTTTTGAACCGGAACTTTTACGATACGTTTTGTAGTGCTTCGTGAGCTCAGTCGAATGCTATCTTGATCACGGTTCTACGCCGCCTGTCAACTAAAGTTCCGAAGGAAACAAGCAGGTCAGGGCTATTTTTGGTCTTGGCTTTCAGACCTTCTAGCTCAAAAGTATTATGACAAAGTTACTAGTAACCGTTCTGTAGAGCACGATGAGTCACTCCTCAAATGACATAAACAATGGTTCAACCCTGATAGCGAAACCGTTCTTATAAAAGCGATCCAAACCCAAAAACGCCAGGACCTTTTGTACAACCACAACTAATTGTCGCTAATCAAAAACATTTCA